GTCGTCACCCGAAAAGTTCGTGAACAGAAGCGTTCGTAACCCAAGGTTCCACTGTATATGTTTAAATGCTAAATACTAAACATTAAGACAGTAAACCTGAGTTTAGTCGTTTCAGAGCCTTAAACTATTCATCACAATTTAATAAATAAATAAAATTTAGTACATGCCAATCATTGGCCATGTTATTCATTAGTTTATATGTATCAAGTTAAAGAGGATTTGTTTTCTGGACACTATTAAAGCTTTTTCTCTGTATCTCAGCATTTAGTATAACTGAGATTCATAAACAGACAAGCAACATTTAATTTTCTTCACTGTATAAATTATTTTGGGATTTGTCATTTGAAGCTAGAATGATAGTTTCATATAAGTTCACAAAGTATAGTAGTTTAATAGGATGAGATTGTAGGCAGGAAGGTAACATAAATGGATCCATGATAGAAAAGTGCTGAGAGTCAGTAGTGAAATTCATTTAAGGTGACAGAATAATGTGGATGCCTTTTAACATATTTACAATTGTAGATGCTCCTGCTAAACAATATAAAAAGTACTTATTGCAGCACCTGATTTTCAAGAGAGAATGGAGGAGCACTTAGAGCGAATTCAAATGTTGTCAGCACAAGTTTGTTCAGTTTTTTATGTGTATTTTGTATGCATTTTGATTTCTAAATATAACTGATGCAAATTTATTTAGGAACGATTTGAGTTCAATAACAATATGAAATAAAAGATGAGTTCATTGCATATTAGATACAGATACTTCTTTGCATTCAGTTACTAGAAATAGCTGAAAAGCCATTGTGTTTTAAGATACATAGTTTTTATGAGGGTGATATTGACAAAGATGTCAGAGCCGCAGTCAAGCAACATAAATGGCTATTTCAAAGATAGAGTAGCTCAGTGATACAGCTGCCCTTACAAATCTGTTTTGGAACTGATTTAAACAATATTGTTTCAAGTGACCATTGGATCAGTAGTAGGTTCGGATCTATATATAGTTTGCAGTGCATTATGTGTGGGATATTTTTCTAATAAATGTTTCTCTCAGACTACAGGGCCATTACTACCAACTGCCATGCATGAACCTAGACTTTAGATATTTTAAGACAATATTTATTGTATTTTTAATTATATTCCTTAAATTGCTTGTAAGCTGCTTTGGGAACTTCCTGAAGACAGATATAAATAATTTTAATACTAATGACATTCTAATTCCAGGAACAGGAATTAGATTTATTATATGATAATCAGTGATCACAATGATAGGATAGTTTGGGGAGTAGCTTTGGTGATTAATCTAGACAGCCAAGAATAGATAAATAAAATTTTGGAATTAACTGAGAAACGTATTAGTTCCAGGATTATATTTGTTATTTATTCTGGCCTGCTTGGGTCACTTTCCCACATATCTACCAAACCTTAACAGATAGTGGTAGAACATTTACAGCTGTTTCACTATAATATAGATGAACAAGTTCCTTTTGAAAAACTTGTAAATTAATAAAACATGTATTTTAAGTGTATTTAAATGCGCCAAAAGTGGTCTTAATTAAATTTTATAATAAAAATCAGATTTCATTATAGAATAAAATCCTTAAACCTAAATATATTTCATGGTTAAATGTACTTGACTAGAAACTGCAAAATTATGGGTTTTAGTTCTATCCTAGGCATGAAGCCATCTGGGTGACTTTGGGTCACTTATTGTCTCTTAGTCGCAGGAAAAAGACAATGGCAAGCCACTTGCAAAAAACATTGCCAAGAAAATTGCATGGATTTGTCTATATAGTCACCAAGAGTCAAGTCACCAAATAATAAAATAAAAAAAGAAATTTTGTTTAATGTTATTCTCAGTATTGAATTGTTGCCTATAGAATCCAAGTGTAACTCTATCCTATCTTAAGGGGCTTCTGTGGTTTGCATTTTTTCCTCCTGTGAAGTCCCCTCTGCCCTCTCCTCACAATTTTTTTGAAAGTTAGGGGAGCTGTTCAAAAGTACCACTAGGTCTACAGAAAGCAGGAAGGATAAGCAAAGATCAGTTGACTATTTTTTCTTGGATCCAGTGACATTCATTTTACTTTATTTTTTACAAAGCAGTTTATTTGATAAGGAATATCTGCTTGCAGCTTTCAACTTTGTAGTTACACCCTTAGTGCTACTTCTTGGGTTGTTCATAGCTGCCTGTGTTTTCTTTTCTTTCCCATTCCAGCAACAACCAGAGTCTGAGACAGTTCACCTGTTCATCCCAGCCTTAGCAGTGGGAGCCATTATTGGCAAGCAAGGGCAACACATCAAGCAGCTTTCTCGTTTTGCAGGCGCATCTATTAAGGTAACATTAAACTGATCAACTTTAAATACTATAGTCTTCTTGACTGTTACAGCAGGTTTCTACAGGCATTGTTCTGTGGCTACCTTAGACACCATGCCTTGAATATCAAGCAGTAACTGGTACCTTGTGTTTATAGAATGGATATTCCTGGCTCATTCAGAGACAAGATAATTACAATAACATTTTTAAAAGTTATTTGAGAGGTGAAATAGAAGCTGTAAAAAAACCCCAAACCCTCCTTGGTGGTCGTGACAATTAGACAGTTATCTAAGTGTTCTTAGAATGGCTTAAACCTTTAGGCCATGTTTTTGAACTGGAGCTTAATTGTTCCTGCAATGCTTTAAATGTTTAATTCAAAACAAGAAAACCAAATGGTTTACTATTTGAGAAGCCCACTTGTCTAGACTTCAGTTCATTTCATGTATTTCAAGATCAGACATGTCTGATCTTTGCTGCATAAAGAAAAGCCAGTACAGCAGCAGCATCGCAGAAAGCATTTAGTTTTCAGGAGATGGAAGATGCTGGATAGAAATAATACTTTTCTCTTCACAATCAAATAATTCCTTTCCAGTAATTTCCAGTTGCCACATAATGGATCTCTGATAGCAGGATACTTACGTACACGTTTAATTCAAAACAAAAATACATATTTGATCCAGATGAAGGAAGTACTTTAAAGAGAAAGACTGTTACTAACAGCAGTACCCACATAAAAAAAAATTAATATTTTTATTTTAAAGAAATGTTTAAGAATAAAAACAATACAAATTTTGAAAGAGAAAAGTAAGGAAAGTAAAGAAGAGTAATAAGTATATGAAAAAAGTACAAAGAAATAGAAAAGAGAAAGAAAAAAGAAAAGTGGCTTCTGGTCTTCTTAATAGCAGTTACAAGTACATTTATATTTTACCCTT